TGAAGAATAGTTGGATAACCTTGTGATTCAGGTGAGCGTCGGTGGCACAGCGGCAGAATGCTCGCCAACCACGCAGGTGGTTTGGGGTTCGATTTCTGACTGATGATTTCCTTTACCTAGCTAAACTAGTAGTAAGGCTGGTAAAGAGGGGAGGTTGGGTATGACCCAGCAACCCTATCCCGTAAAAATAAGTACAACCACTGCCGAAACTCCAAGGAACCAACTTGAAGCCTTATGTTTCACTGGGAACTCAAAGGAATAAAATACAAAGTAATGTGGATTAGACATCTGATCAGTGGTCCTACACTAAAATCCCAGGAGTTTTAATTGCCTCAAGACTGAGATCAGGAAGCTGGGCCTTTTCCTGCTCACCATGCGTTGCATATGTCATCAGTGGTATTCAATACACTGTAGATTCTGATGGAAAGTTAACAGTGTTTCGTACAGTGTGGCAGCGTCACCAGAATGTATCTTTGAACTAAAAGCTGTTGATGCAAAGCATTGTCCATTTCGTAGGAAGATGGTTAAGAAATACTAATCTCCCCAGTGTAGGGATTGTGCAATGTGTCTTGGTCGATAATTAAAGCACCGGATTGGACCACTTTTTATTTTAACTGTTTCTTCCGCAAAGTTATACATTCAAACAAGTGAACTAACATTTTCCAACCATTTTGTTTAGAACTTCAGGTGGTTACAATTATACAGCCTTAATTATTATTGTGGTTTTGACTTTCAGAGAAATCGTGGTGTTAGAAACAACGGACTACTAGTATGACATGGGAAACTGATTCCAGCTTGAATTTCAAAAGGGAAACCACCAATAAAGAGGCAATTCCGTTTTGTTTTGAAGACTTCACACTTACTGATAAAATAGGTTCACCCTGGACCCTGTCCACAAAATGAAACTGATTTCCGACGCTATGATAGCAGTTTTGGAGCCACAATATGGTAGGGCAGTAGTGTACATGAAATATTTCTCACTGTTCCAATGGAAAGTTGAAATACACCTTCCACAGCATAGGAATAAACCAATGGTTAGAATAAACAGATAGAACTGGACTAATTAAATAAACTCCCACTGCATCGGCGCAGTTTTAGGTGTTGTAAGTTTTATTCATAGATACCGCATCTGACCAGGTTTGAATGCCGTTTCGTGGCCCACTTTCTGCTCCTAGATCGTGCATCAACAGAGTCCATAATTAGGCTAAAATAAGCTGCTAAATTATTCTGTGTGAATATTCCTTAGAGTATTCTATTTACCTACGAAGCCATACAGGGCATCTTTATGCACACATGCATCTTTTCGATACGTACTATTTTATCAGTACTACCAGGCTGGTTAAAGTTCTGATTATGTTCATACTTGGGCGTCCCGTGTCTAATTAGCGACAGCCAGTTCCCCAAAAATCACCTTTTCTACACCATCTCCTCCAAGACATCTTGCGGATTTAATGTACCTTACTTTACCTAAAATAATTCAGTTGAAAGCGGAAAAAGAATATGAAAGTGTTACTTGCAATCAGCTTTATTTAGAGGGAAATTATCAATCAGTACTAGATCGCTTATATCTGAGGGACTAATGGATGTTCCCATTGCAGTCTAATTTCTGCGGGAGGTCAAAAGTGGTCAGCAATGATCAAAATAAGCGTCATTAACTGTAGCATTAGCCAACTTAGATCCAAATCTGTTAAGGAGGGGGGGGATAGCTTAATTCAGGCTTAAAGGTATACTAAACTAATGAATGGTGGTCATTTTATCTCCAGTGATCTTTAATGATATGGTGAGGATAAGGGCTGTCGTGATGTATTATCGCGCATAGTATGATTTCTCGTGTTCACGCCTATAGAGGTGTTATCAGCGTTTAATTTTGTGAAATTGCAGTATATTTAATTAGTTTTCGGCTTCTGCAGTCTAAAAGAGCGATATTTCCTTATATTATGTGGGTATTAATGCGTAAAAGTATTTTGTTATAGGGGATGAATTATTACACAGACAGGTATACACTTAAAGATATTATATATAAAAATGACCTTTATTTTTGTTTGGGAGTGGTATTTGTGAGTAGTTTTAGATTTTCTGGTCGTAAATCAACTACAGGCAGTAGATAATGTCATAGCGGTTATTTTATAGTATCCAGCCTTTTCTTAGAGAATAAGACCACGTACATAAGTTAGATGTCTGTACTGAGGAGCTTAGGCATTTTTATTTGCATCCGTGATAAGTGAAATCGTTCATAATAGATCGAATAAATCGTATGATGAATGAGACAAGCGGTTGAATTTTGCAGTGATTATGTCGATTTTATTGAAGTTCATGGTTAGAATTGCCCAGTGTAAGATGTGGTCTTCCTAGACTTTGAGAAGGCATTTGACACTGTTCACCACGACTTTCTCCTACATAAAATAAGCCAGGCAGGTATAGGTGAGTCACTTCTGTAATGGTTAAAGGACTACCTAGCTGACAGGCAATTTTGCACCAAGGTCAATCGAGTCCGATCATCTTGGCACAGCTCGTCATCAGGAGTGTCGCAGGGTTCTATCCTAGGATCACTGATGTTTTTGATTTTTACCAATGATCTACCACGCCGTCTAAACTGCTCGACTCTTCTATACGCTGACGACATAAGGATATGGAGGGAGATAAAGTGTCCGGAGGACTCAGATAGGCTGCGGAAAGATCTAAACCTTCTGGAATTGTCAGTGTAGTTGACGATTGAACGATCAATTCATGGTTGTTTGCTCAAACCCAACTTCCCTATATTTTCGCGGAGACATCGATATACCAGTCATCGTCTCATAGGTTGCTGTTCAGAAAGAAGTCAGACCAAAACTGTCAGAAGTAATATTGTGATTTATTATTGTAATATTTGTTCATAGACCTTAGTTAAAACTTAATTTAAAGTTGTCTATATGTTGGTGTTACAATAAAGAATCCTCGAGTCAACAATTGGTGTTTTGGTTTTGCGTCCGTTATTACTAAGCGTTTCTGAGAAACTTCAAGGAACAGCGTGAGGCGCAGCGTAGCAAGAGCTGGACATTGACGGTTTACGAGACGTGGCTGACAGGAAGACTGGGCGGTGGTCAGTGGCATGACTTTCAACCTGAAAAAGTGCAAAGAATTGAAGTTGCCCACCTGTAGACTGCACAATGCAAGTTATACCCTGTGCAATGAAAGCTTGTCCTGAACAACGTCGGAACGCGACTTAGGTCTAGTTCTAATGGAAAAATGGACACAAGCGTAAATTACACGGGTTATGTAGCGACGGCATATGTTTAGGGGACTTATACTAGAGTTCGCTAATATTACAAATATAAGAATAATAATCCAAGTCAATGGAATGTTAAATAACAATATATTATCAGAAATGCAGTGACGAGTTATATCAACAAAAAGGATTACTTGGATACAAAGTCTAAGTCCTCTGCTACAAATTATTTATATAATCCACGGGTACGTTAATTGTTTGGGTTGCATCTGCTGTAGCTGTTGTGTTCCGGTTGTAGAAATGTCTTCGGTTGAGAGTAGTAGACTCCTACGATAAATCCGAAGTATACAACACGGTATGAGTTGAGCAAGTAAGCAGAAATAACCAGGGAGAAGACGAAGTCTCCAACAGCAGAGTGTATTTTTCAATTGTACACGGAAGTTATGTATATTTCAACAAGAAGCGTTTTGAACAAAAATCATGTACAATATCTCTAATTTCTACAAATAACCAAAAGGTGTACAATCACATTGTTACGTGCTCCACATATGCGGTCATACACTTTACACATAGACAGTTAGGTGCACTCACTCCTGAGCTATTTCTAAGGTTGTACAAAACACACGTCAGACCACACCTTGTGGTGTATAATATTATTGCACCCCCAATGCTTAGAAGAGACGCCAACCTCTTGGAAAGGAGGCTGGGTTGGAAGTGAGGCATGAGTTTCTGTTTCTCATTGACAATAGGATTCGGTTACTGAAAACACATCTCATATACTATTTTATTTTTGGACAGCTGTTTCGTCCTAGTTTGGGACTCCTCAGCAGTACGCACCCACCGGGATTCGAACCCAGGACCTTCTGGTTACAAGGCGAGCTCGTAGACCATTGAGCCACTGGGACCCGATCCAATGGTCCTTGAATTCTAACTTCTGCCAGTTCACGATATAGCGCGACCACTTCGCAATGTCTTCTCCGATGAGTTACTGCCTCATCTTCGACCTGCTGTACCCTACTGGTAACGGCTTCCCACTAGAACCCCAGGTTAACTGCCTGAATAGGGCCAGTCACTAGTGATGTCAGCTCATGATTAAATCCTCCATACAATCAAACAAAATCCCTACACAAACCAATACTTGAAAATTCATCTGATGCTCACTAGTGACTGGCCCTATTCAGGCAGTTAACCTGGGGTTCTAGTGGGAAGCCGTGACCAGTAGGGTACAGCAGGTCGAAGATGAGGCAGTAACTCATCGGAGAAGACATTGCGAAGTGGTCGCGCTATATCGTGAACTGGCAGAAGTTAGAATTCAAGGACCATTGGATCGGGTCCCAGTGGCTCAATATTTTATTTTTTATTTTTATTCTTGATTTACAGCTTGATTCCACACCGTATTTTAGTACAGGTATGGAATTTTCAGCATGTGATATCGGTAGACCAAATTTCGCAGGCCGACCATAGATATCAGATGTGCGTCGGCGTGGGCTCGAACCCCGGACCATATGCATGGTCGGCGAGAGTCCTAATCACTGTGCCACCGACGCACTAACTGGCGAAAGGATCAACTCCCTTCACAGTAGTAACAGTCTTAACACACCTCATACTACAAACCACATATAATTAATCCCAGAACTACTCCTTTGGGAGTCAACCAAAGCTACGACAGTCGAGTGGCGGGACGAGCTACGCAGAAGTTACCCGAAGATCAGGAACCTAGCCCTTACAATCAAGGAGCGAGCACAAAGAAATCAAATTGGTTTCTACTAGCTCGTAAAAACGATATTGGATATTGGATCCATGATATATTCGATACAACAAATAAATGAATAAATAAATTACAGACATGATAATCTATGTTACTCGGTGAAAATAAAAATTATTCAGAGTAATCTACAATCTACTACAATCTGTTCCCAAACTCCGTCTTCAAAGAAGTTTTCTCAGGACAATTTGTTGTGCAGAAGTCAGGCAGTTGTAGATTTTAGACATTTTTCAACTTCATCAGGACTATTCACACTTGGAAGCATATGGCAACACTCATTAACATGATTCAAACCTGCAAAATAAACAAAATTATAGTTAGACCTGAGGTCACGTGAAGAACATGTATAACTCTTGTTTGGATAACATAAAATAATTCCACGATATATGAATGGTCACTCGATTTTCAAAAACGGACGAACTAAGTGTTGCTAGAAGATATATAATATACTGACTGGTACTCATGGCCAGAAATCACTTACTTCAGCGGTCGTCTGACTTAAGTTATCTAAACACAGGATAGCCATCTCGCGTGTTCGTAACCGAGCTCATCAGAAGTGTGTACTGGAATAGAGTCAGCTTGGGTAGCAGAATTACTTTAAACCATTAAATTACACAGGTGCTTAAGTGACATTTCCCTTTTTTGAAGTGGCACCACTTTTATCTGGTGCGTTTCGGAGCGTTCCATTGAATAGGCCAGAGTGTACCAGCAAGATTTATTGAAAATTCGACGTTATAAGTTGAACTTTTCAACTCATTGCCTTTCTTTAACCCATTAAATTGCGGGGATATCCATATCAAGCAATATTTTTTAAGATAAAAATGCAGCAGACGTAACGCAGTTCAGCAATGTAATACCATCTATGGTAGGTAAGCCAGAAAATAATTGTTTAATTTAACGTTTCATTTAAAAAGTATTTAAGCAACATATTTTCATCAAACCAACACAGAAATGGATGACGACGCTACATTTAACGGGGACATGCAATAAAGCCACTCAAATTACGCAGTTCCAATTGAAAGTTCTCTGCCGTACGCCGAAACTAAGGAGGATATGAAACGGCCGAGGTAGCCGCCGGGGTTTGGATTAATTCTCTCTGGATGGAAGGCACTAGTGGTTCATGTAGTTGGCCTATCAACTAGTAATATATATAATCTTGTGATTTGCATCCTCCCTTTTATGATAGCTATAGTACTGAGCAACTTACACAGTAATATCATTTGACTATGTGGTCATCCATATAAAGGAAAATAACCGGATGACTAGAATTGAGAAAACCTAGTTATTCGGCCAAATGGATGTCAAATCGAGCGAGAATCGGGAAGGTGACCACCAACCTGAAACCAATCTGGAAATCTTCCTCACTCAGCATCAAAAACAAAATCCAGTCGAATTTTCAATACAAGCGTTAAGTCAGTTATCTCTTCTATACGGATCAGAAACTTGGCGGGCGGGTTACAAAGAATATTTCCAACAGCCTGTTTCAGACCTTCATCAATCAACAACTGTCTTCGCTGGCTCTATACTGAAGATCAATCGGATGGCCGGGTGGGAAAGAATCACCAACAAGAAGATATGGGAACAAACAAATCAAAACAAGAACCAATCGCCAACCAACAAATATGCAGGAGAAAGTGGAGATGGATTAGACACTCGTGGCTGAGAAGGCCGCTGGGTGACATCGTGAGTCAGGCCATTGCTCGAGTGGAACTCGAAAGAATGGGAAGCGGCGAGTGGGTCGTCTGTGCAAGGGTGACATGAAGGAGATGGTGTGGAGAGGAGTTGAAAGAGTATGGACTAACATGGATGCGTGTGAACAGTACATCAGAAGACGGAAGCAAGTGGAGATGTACAGTTGAAGCCCTATGTTCCACTAGAAACCCAAGGGGACGATAAATGAATAAAATAATTGGGCCAAATGGAATGAATAATTACACTAAATCAGAGAATTTTTACTAAAAGAAAACGGAAGAAGAACTCAGATTGAGGGAAGAATGAAAAGCTTATTATTAATAAACAGACTTGAAGTTGAGCATCATTGTCAGTCGGTTAGCAATCAATTACAAAAGTGAATGATAGAATAACAAATAGGGGAAAATACTAGGGCTACGCGACGCACACCTGAAAAACTAGTGACTACATAACGAACAAAAGGTTAACCGTATATGGTAAAACAAAAGGTATAAATTGAGAAATGCATCTATCAGATTCTGCCAGGCGAAATTCGAATGAGAAATCCTTCGGATGATTCCTATTCAGTTTCAATTTTTTAAGATAGAACATCTTAGATACCGTTGACTCACCTACAAGACGATTCGATTTCCTGATAATTGTGGTGATTGACAATTTCTATCTCTGTATTGTTTCAATACTTACTGTTGATTATTACTATTTCTTATATGAATTGCAATATAATTCCGCTAAATACAAATTCCTGAATTCTGCCATCTCTGTGTTTTGGTTGGATTCTTGTAATTCGGTCATCTTGAAATACTAATACTACGATTACAATAAATTACTACAAATTGGCGTCACGATGGAACTAAATAACCTGGGAAAATTTCCTCTTAATAGTTCTCCGCGGGAGATTGCTGATTATCTTGAATGCTTCGATGCGTGGTGCATTTCCATGAATGTTCGGGATGACAAAATACCAGCACATTTCATCACTGCTATTGGGCTAGATGCGTATAGCCTAGTGAAGACTCTGTCATTTCCAGATAAACCAATTTCTCTGCCATATTATAAACTCCGTGAACTTCTGATAGATCACTTCCAAATAACTACTTTTGAGACGTGAGAGAGGGCTCAGTTCAACAAACTGGTTCGTGCTCCCAACCAGAAGATTCGAGAGTTCATTCTTCAACTTCAAATACAAGCTTCAAAGTGTAACTTTGGAGATCAGCTGCATACTCAACTACGTGATCGTCTAATTGCTGGAATCAATATTCCTAAATTAGAGAAAGAGTTAATTCAGATTCCTTCTTGTACCTTTCAAACTGCTAAAGATTTATGTATTACATATGAAGATGTCAATAATGAATACTCTGCTCCCACTACGTCAGTGTCTGATGTTATGCTTTCTAAAGTCGAAAATACAAGTGTTCATGGAAAGAAATCCAAACTGCCGTCCACAGGTAATAGAATGCAGCCGGAGATCAAAAACATTAAACCGTGTTTATCCTGTGGAAAGTTACATCTACGAAGCACTTGCCGTTTTCAAGGTGCTAAGTGTCACAAATGTGGTAAAGTTGGACACATCAAGACTGTTTGCAGAAGTTCGAATACTTATGTTGCTCAACATTCTTATAATTCTCCCAAGCTGTCTAGTAAAATGGAGTCAATGTGTCTTTCAACTTTTCAAAATACTCAAGCTAATCCAATGAAAACCTCCACTACAAGTTCAGCAACTCAAGTGTCAACTGTTTTCAAAATTGTGGTAGCCGAGTTACAATGTGAACTGTCGAAAACACAAAAAAACCTGAATGAGATGAGAGAGCAACTGATTAAAATTGAGGAATTACTGCATATACATAGACTGCGTCTGTTGAATGCAGAGCATACAAGTACCCGTGAAAGTCCTGCAAAACTATTCAAATCTCGAATTCTCAGAAAGCATCTGATGTCCACGACTTCTAATGTACATTATTACAAAGGGAATGACTATAGACCTTCTGTTGGAATTGTACTACAAAAAATGGGAAATCGAGTGGTGAAGATATTAGACATCAAAGATCACTCAGTTCATAACAGACACCTGGACAAAGTGACAATAAATGAAGTAGGTCGTTCCAATTATAATATTATTGATTCCGCTAATAATCCTGATTTTGTAGATAATTCAGAAATAGGTCCAGATAATACTGATGAAAATAATATCACAGAATCAGTTAGGTCGAAGCTACTTGCAAGCAAACCGAGACATCGTTATAAATACGCGAGGAGATATTCGAGGTGTGGCGGATGTTGTGATTGACAATTTCTATCTCTGTATTGTTTAAATACTTACTGTTGATTGTTAATAGGTTTCTTATATGAATTGCAATATAACTCCGCTAAATACAAATTCCTGAATTCTGCCCATCTGTGTTTTGGTTGGATTCTTGTAATTCGGTTATCTTGAAATACTAATACTACGATTACAATAAGTTACTACAATAATCCAAAAATTCGGAATAAAATCTACTTTAGTAAGAAAGCATTTCCCGAATTACTTGATGGCTTTTAAGATACTTTTACCAGCTTTATTCTTAACCAAAATCAGTTACAAAAGCATTACGAATCAAAAAGTTGAGAACAGGTGTTTTTTCTTGGTTTTCAAACTTCTGAGCAGCGTTAGCTGATAACCCTTCCATGCATTTATCCCGGGGGCTTGGAGTTCCTGAGGCGAACACTTTTACAGCTCAGATACTTGATTAGAAATCTATCTAATCTGTCAGTTAGTAGTATAGAACCACCTCGACATAATGTCATCAGTGAACGTTGATTCTCACATCCAACTTAGGGAACGTTATGGACTGTGATGTCTCATTAAAACTCCGAAAACTATAATCCTGACACAAGTCACAAATGAGTAGTGAAGTAATACTGGGTATGTGGAGATTTGATTGATTGTAAGGCAGACTTGATCATGAATAAACACCAGTTAGGCAGTTGTTGGGAACAGACCAATCAAGAGCCAATCGCCCAACAAGTATGTAGGAGAAAATAGAGATGGATGGATCGAGCACACATTGAGGAAGCCGCCAAATGATATCGGTCTTAATAAAGGCCATTACTCGAGTGGAATTCAAATGTGAAGTGACGAGTGGGTCGTCTATGTGAGGGTGACATGGAGGAGATCGTTTAGGCAAGAGGAGATGAGAGATTATGGGGAACCGTGGACCCAGTTGAAGAGGACGGCAAAAAAGCAGAACAAAGTGGAGATGTGTTGTTGAAGCCAGCCCTGTATTTCATTCGGAACTCAAAGGAATAATACATAATAATATATAGGGCAGTTGTCGTAAACCTGGGGGCATTGAACAGCCGTTTCATTCATACTAAAATCCAATGCTTACAGAAGCTACCATGTGCAAGTGTAAGAATGATTCGATTAAATAGAAATTTTGAAGCTAGTTTGAAGGTAGGTATTCGATTTATTTCACGTTTCATCACAGATCGATATCAGTTAGAGAACCATTGAAAATCAATAAGGGAGTACTAGTTCTAGTTGTTCCCTTCTAGTTTGACAGAAGTAAGAGTTCGTGGATCATTGAGTCGGGTCAAAATGGCTTGACTTGTAACCTGAAGGTCCTCAATTATAATTCCGGTGAGTGTACTTAATGATGGTGAATCCCAAACTAGGAAGAAACAACAGCCGAGTACACTCTGGTGACTTTCATTGGTTCTTTAACTCACATATCAATCCGTGGGCACACACCACAGAGGGGAACTTATAGGAGGAAGAAATGATGAAAAGATTAGAAGAAATTTAACCTTTAGCCTTTATTAAATATAAAAACATTGTTCATTCCTATTCACTTTTCTGTCATGTCTCCTTATTGTAAATTAATAAAAAAATTCACAGGAAGGAATTTCGTCTATAGTCTTTGCGCTATATATACACAGCTACTTGATGACTATAGCATAACTCTTTGAATGATAAAATCAAAAGAAACGGTATCTATAAAAGGGGCATAGATTGAACATTGTGGTTATGTAAGTTTGACTCTAACTTTGATGTCAACCAACTGCACTTGGACTTATTTAGTTATCTATCTTATAGACCAATCACCTTTTCCGCCTTTCACACTTTTAACTGAGTGAGAATGATTTAATGTTATGTTTTCAAGTATGGGTTTTGTAGGGATTTTGTTTGATTGCATGGAGGATTTAATCATGATCTGACATCAGTTAGAGAACCACTGGATAACCTGGGATTACTGGACAGCTGTTTCGTCCTAGTTTGGGACTCTTCAGCAGTACGCACCCTCACCACGGGGTTCGAACCTACGACCTTCTGGTTACAAGGCGAGCTCGTAGACCATTGAACCACTGGGACCCGATCCAATGGTCCTTGATGGTCCTTAATGTTATGTACCTAGCCTACTAGTGACAATGATCTAATCTGGTTTCACTTAATGATTTGATAGTTTATAAGACTACTCATAATCATATCATGTCACTCACAAAACTTTCTTGCTTCATTTATTATGTATATGAGTAAAATTGATGATTAGACATTGGAATAAAAATCAATGTGGAATAAGTGCATATTCAGTAATAATAATATGAGTGTTTTGTTGATCGAATACAACCAGATGGGAAATAAGACGAGTATTTTTATAGTCATAATAAGTAACTTGTTAAAATGTTGTGATGTGCTTGAATTGAAATAGAATACAATTTAAGATTATTTATTATGCTCCTCTGATTTGACTGACTGGTGGTAATAATATCTCCTATATTTCTGGTACTTGCGTCGAGTCATTTCTGTTGCATGTGTTGGGTGTAGACTTGATTAACCCTATATTCAGTAATCAATCCCTCTCTATCCACCTGCCTATATTACTTCTTAGAATTTTAACCCTCTCCGATCCTATTGTTTGCTTGTGTGTAAATACATGCAGTGCAATTGCTGAGCTTTCTTCTAAATTAATTAGCGAATTTTTTTTTCCTTGACGTTCCCCAGTAGAACATAGGACCTCATGCTGGTGGCTTGAAGTTTCTGTAGCAGTGTTTAACTTTACAAGATGGGGTTGCTAGCCAGCCTCATGCCCAACCTTTCCTCTTTACCAGCATTATTCCTGGCTTAGCGAGGTAAAGGAGTGCGTTGGCAGCCGGGGATCGAACCCCAGACCATATGCATGGTCGGCGAGCGTCCTAACCTCTATGCCACCGACGCGAATGCACACTAATCTATATTGATGTTTATTCAAATGTCTAATCATCAATTTTTACTCAGGTATATAAATGAAGCGAGAAAGTTGTGTGAGTAGTGCCTTGATATGATTATGAGTGGCAATAGTTTGTGCTCGAAAGGTGGTCATCAGTAAATATTACTATATAACAACACTGTGTAATTTATCAAAATAAAATCTTGTCTATAACAGAGAAAAAATTATAATATAAGAACAACAGTGGCATCTACAGTACACCTTCCATGTCTACGAAGAATCTAACAGCGAGAAGTAACACCTCCACAACTTACCTAAATAATCATATACTAAAAATAACAACTGTTCAGCTAATTCCTGTGTATTATCTGATGACAATACTGTATCAAACATTCCTGGATTATCACGATGTACTTCAGGATACAAATGAATTGTACGCTCCACACACCAGTGGATCCATTCTTCTGACTTTTCTATAGCTGCCTCCAATATTCCATTATTGCTCAACGTGGAAAATTGTTGATTGTCTAGCTGGCATAATTTTTTGCGTAATTTTGCTTCATAATTTACTAAGTCACTTGGCAGGCATAGAATACTTCGTGGTTTTAAACCAGCCAACTGTAAACCATACAGCAGTTCAATTTCACCGACAACAATACCAGCTAATCCTTGACGAGCAATGCCGTCCAAAGCTTCCCATGATAATCCATACTGGTAATCTGTTGAAAAAAGGATATCAATTAATGAAATGTGATTGAAATGCTTCAAGAAAGTGGGGTGGGGTTACAACTCTTACATAATGAGATATATTTTCATTTATGATATATAATCTTATTCAGCAGCTGTACGACAATGGCACATGTCAAGTGATCCACAACGGAAAACTCAGCGAGGCGTTTGGAGTAAGCACAGGGGTCAGACAAGGGTGCTGGCCTATTATCACCAATGATATTCCTAAATGTTGTGGACTGGATTATACGTCAGACAGTGGGAAACGAGAAGACAGGGATATCCTGGACCGACTGACGTGAAGAACCTAGAAGACCTGGATTTCGCGCGTGGATGATTTATGCTTGATGTCACACAAAATCGAAGACTTACAAGCGAAGACCGATAAACTGGTCGAAGAAGCAGCTGGCGAAGACAGGACTCTAGGTGAACATGGGTGAATAAGACGCAGGTTATGAAAATAACCAAATGTCAAATCGAGAATCGGGAAGGCGAGAAACACATTCATCTACCTGAAACCAATCTGGAAATCTCCGTCACTCAGCCAGCATCAACAACAAAATCCGGTCGGATCTCCAATACAAACAACGTCAAGTCAGTCAGTTCTTCTATACGGATCAGAAACTTGGCGGGCGGGTTACAAAGAATATTTCCAACAGCCTGTTGCAGACCTTCATCAATCAACAACTGTCAACTATCGCTCTATACTGAAGATCAGATGGCCGGGTGGGAAAGAATCACCAACAAGAAGATATGGGAACAAACAAATCAAAACAAGAACCAATCGCCAACCAACAAATATGCAGGAGAAAGTGGAGATGGATTAGACACTCGTGGCTGAGAAGGCCGCTGGGTGACATTGTGAGTCAGGCCATTGCTCGAGTGGAACTCGAGAGAATGGGAAGCGGCAAGTGGGTCGTCTGTGCAAGGGTGACATGAAGGAGATGGTGTGGAGAGGAGTTGAAAGAGTATGGACTAACATGGATGCATGTGAACAGTACATCAGAAGACGGAAGCAAGTGGAGATGTGCAGTTGAAGCTCTATGTTCCACTAGAAACTCAAGGGAACAATAATAATATAATATGATATAATCTCATACTGTAAATTTAAAATATATAAACCGGCCATCAGCTATACCTCATGGATGCTGACTAGCAGTGGAATACAAGATGATTATTTTGTCACATTCGGGACTCATCAGTTGGTTGTATCTGTAATCCCTGTTGGGACTCAAACCTATTCCCTTTATTTTGATTGACACTAGTAACCAGTGTGATGTGTCTAGTCCTTTTTGTTTGGTCCAGACTGAATTCTATCAGTCAATCAGGTTTTCAATGTGGCCACCATGCCACTAGATAGCTCGCCATCACGGTGCACATTGATTTGATGACATTAGATGGTTGAAGGCAATCGGCCACAGGAAGACCAGACCTGGACCTGAGTTTCTTGCTAGTTGGCACTCACCATTCAGCAAGGTGTATCTGCAACCAACTTGAAGGAACTAATGTCCCTTATGAGATTCGAACCCGCGTCACCCAGTGAGTACTGCAGTCAGAGACTTTACCTTTGAACTATTTGGGTTCGCGGTTGACCTCCTGTAGGACTGTAGTGGATACTTTGATTGGACACTAGTAACTAGTGTGCTGTGTCTAGTCTCATAAGGGACATGAGTTCCTTCAAGTTAGTTGCAGATAAGCTTGCCTTGCTGACTAGTGAGTACCGACTAGCCGGAAACCAAGGACAAGCAAGGTTTCCTTCTGCCGATTGCCTGCAACCATCTGATATAATCGAATCAATAATCCCCTTAGTTTCAAATATCAAAGCGGTAGCTATTAGACCACTTGAGCCACGGGAGTCATCTCTTGTTTGATATTGATAAGTTATAATTTTAAATCAATTTTTACTTTCTATTTGATTGAATGAGCCGAAATATTTTTCTCCTGGTGACATGTCACCTCCTGGTATAGAAACTTCTTGGATGTCTGGGGATTAACACTGATGTTGTCAGGTTGTTAGGAACACTATCATTCACTGGAAATTGCATTCCCATTCGTCTAACGCGTCCCCAAATAAGATAACTGTCAATCTTCACGCATCATCTAAGCGTCCCCACCAGTAGTCGACATATTAACAGAAGCTGAACAATTCGGTTCAGTCCATCTTTGAAAAAAACAAAAATTGACTTAAACAGGATAACATGTTGGATCTATTTGATCTTCCTTGCTAATAAGATCCAACCGATCAAATATTCATTAAGAGCACAAAAATCAAGTGGCACAACAATTCGTAATACTGTACTTTTGTAATAGTCGTTATGAGTCTCTTGATGGAGACCGTTTGACACATATTTCACACTTGTTAGCCCCCATCAATAATACTCATCGTCGGGCTGACATAGGACCAGCTTGGAAAAAAGTAGAGGTAGTCTCACTAAAAGGCGGTCATCAGTCAATGAAGTTTTTAATAGTTAGTTTGATTTGTAATGAATAGTGTTCTCTGTGTTGGTTGGTTTAACTGCAGAACTTTCGTCGTCCTTCTGGACAACATCCTCTGTCAGCTCAATTTTTAGCATAAAGTGAACTGATTTAAATTTGCCATGAATGATGGAATTGCGTCTCCCGGTAACCATCTTTACATATGTATTGATCATTTTCTATTGACTTGGATTGTAAATTTTCTGGTCACATGTGATTTACTTTTTATTAGTTGGTATATTTTTGGTCTATATTAACATGTTTGCTAATCGTATATTCGTTTGAGTACCAGGCTTCTAGGAATTCACTGACTGCACTTTTGGTGTTTCCTCTGTCTAAAATTTCGTAATTATCCCAATCAAATTGATGTCCATAATTATCTATAAGCTTTGATATGAAACTGGAATATATATCATGTCTTTCCACACTTGATTTGTGTTTCTGAATTCTGATTCGAAGGGGCCGTCCACTTAGTTGACTGATGTAATGTCTGTTGCAGTTCAAACATGCAATTTTATTTTGTAAATGGTCATTCCATCTCAACGAACGCCTCCTTCAAAGTAATCTACAAAGTGAAGAACAACCTTCCAAAGACAGTACGATTCCGTCTTCTTTGCATCGCAGAAGCCCTAGCCATCCAGTTGGAGGAACCAGAACTATGCATACAAAAGAAAATTATCCAACCACTTTTACTCGCATGGTAACTACTCCTTTGATTTGACCTAACTTTTCTTTGTTTGTTTGATTTGACCTTACTTCTGTTTGTATGCTTATTTTTCTAACTTAAAACCCTTGTGTAATTCTGTATATTATTTTGTTTCCATGTACACCCTTTGAGCACAACTCATTCATCAAACTATTCATGCCATTACGTAACTCTTATTTAACAATCATTTATGACAACTCATCACTTTTGTTGCTATCCTCTTATCAACATCCAATTCATCTGAACCTACTAATTGTATTTTCGTTTGACAAATTTAATGTATACACACACACACAAAATAACCATATATATTTGCGATTGTACAGCTATGAAAATGAATTCGCCGAAAAGAGACTCTTCGCTGAACTACTTGTCTTCTGTCTACTAATGTTCGAATGGGAATTATTCATGAATTAAATGGTATTAATTTTATCTTCTCTTTTCTGTTGGGTGGGTCTTTTGGTTTGCACGAGACTGGATGAAGTGATTGGGCAGGCTGACTGGCTGGCTTGTGTGCTATATCTATTTCAAACGGTTTTAGTATTCAAGCTGTTATTTCGGAGATATTTTTTTATATATATGGTAGAATGAATTTTCTTGTGGTCTTTGATGTTGGCTTGTTGTTGGCATTATGGTTCTAGCTGAAACACTTTTTGATGAAACTGTGAAGATATCTATTCTTCTTGAAGACGGTTAGTAGGTGTTCTTCTTCCATTCTCTTCAACACCGGAGCAGTGCTACAGTGTGTTTGAACTCTTTTAAACAATGTCTGCACCCAACTGCTTTTGTGGGTCATTGGGTTATTACTATTATAGTTGGGTATTTGGTCTGTGTACGTTGATTTTCTGCATACTTGTGTTTCTAAATTTCTTGCATTAGTTCTTTTGACTGAGACATCTAAGAACGGAATTTTGATATCTAATTCTTCTTCTCTTGTGAGTTTAATGTCTTCAAGTGTGTTGTGTATTAATTTGTGGGTATATTCAGAATCATTTATTTTAACTATTACAGATTTATTGTCAACTTAACGTACCCAGAGTTTTGGTTTAATTATAGGTAGGGCTATTAATTCTAGGCTTTGCATAGTGACTTAATCTACTAATAGTGATATAGGCTATCCCATTCTTGTTCCTGCGCTGAAGATGTTGCCTAGAAGGGCGACGAAAGCTTCTCAATTAAATCAACCAGCTCAGACAACACAACTAATTCATATTGTATCAAAAGTACCGTTTACAATAAAGCCACTATTATTATTGCTATTTACACATCGTTAGTTTAATCTGTCTAACGCTAAGTTAGTTAATTACTGATTTACCGTATTGAATTGTTTCCTTACAAGTTGTGTTTTACCCGTAAAACTGGCCTATTTGTGAATATGATTGATGACTTTTAAAGTTAAATCATGAATTGGCATTAAGTAGAGGAAGCTATGAAAACCAGGGAATACTGAAAAGAGACATTTTCGTACAATTTTGAGATTTTTCAGTAACATTCACCCATGACTTCATCAGGAAGTGAATCCTAATCCAGTAGTCATTCATTAGTGAGAAGTTTACCAAGTTGGTTTGTGGAAACAGATACCTAACGACAACTTAGGCTGGCAGTCGCCGTACATTTGGACTGACTGACTGACTGGCTGGTTCCAACGTAGAACTTCGAACAGATGTGCAGCACTTCGAGTTGTCACACTCCCTCCAAACAGCACACAAAGCAATAGATGAGAGTAAACAGAGATTCAGAAGACAGATATAAAAAACAGAAATATGAGGCAAAAAGAACAGTAATATGGTGGAAGAACGATAGAATTTT